TTCAGAGTGAGTGATTGAATGGGTCTGTGTTTACGTCCCTTTAGCAATACCCCACCAATATCACGGCGGGGGAAAATAGAAATTGGCTTCACACACCGTACCCATGTGAGCAATCGAACCCGGACTTTCAGCGAGACGAACGACCGCTGTAACCACTAGGATAACCCAACGTCCTTCAAATACCTTTACGATCACAACATAAAATTATATTTCAACCTACGCCAAATAGTCTTGCCGTCTTTGAAAGATTAGAACACTCTTAATTATTGGTTTGTTTGTTGTTAAACTCAGCAATAGTCCAGTTATATGGCGGCGGTCTGTAAATAACCAAGTCTGGACCAGACAATCAAGTGATCAACATCATTATACTTCCGGTACTTAGCTGGTTCCCGGCTCAAATTCGCGCGCCAGTTTGCGATATGCGAGACGGCGCCCAGCTTACTTCCGGAACCAGATTTCCGATGACAAGCGTATATTCAAGAACCAGTTCTGGTTAAAAAAATTACCGCACCAAGTGTACAACCATGCTTGGTGTATTCCTGTAAGGATTATCGGCTGCTTACTGTCAACTGAGAGACCATTCGAAAGGCTTTCTGTCCCCGGAATTACAAAGGTCTCGCGAAGTACCGTGAGCTACTGAGAGTCCTATAGGGCATCTCCACTGGTGCTGAGAACAGTGATATGGAAATTTCAAGCAACTTATTCTTGCCCTTGTCCATATAATGGAAGCTATCTATTGACACATATCATCTCAAGTCACTAGAGGACCAGCACAGTGTGTGATGCTCAATGCCTTATCTAGGCTGAGTTGCAAGATGGATTACTCTAGCTGAGAGGTGAATATTACCATAATTGTCCTAATTGCTATAATCACTGCTCTTTATCACATTACCTCTGAATTTTTACTGCCACTCAATTTGATACGGCAATAGTGCTACCTTTGTATTTATTTGTGAACTTAGTTCATTTTAGAATACAACTGCTGATTACATCACATTTCTTTGTAGTTTGTTGGTTTCCCACCTAGTTCGTCTACGAACTCATTCCCAGTTAACTTTTTACCTTCAACTTGGGAATAAACACGAAACAACATAATGTTTTAGACAGTTCAGGCCAAATTGAAAATGTAAACATTGTTCGCGGTAAAAGGGATGAAACATTTCAACTATTATTGAGTGTCAAACTTTCCTGTGCTACGTCGATTATGAAATTGCTTTGGATAGCAGGGGGACCATTTACACCGTGTTAGGCCCCTGTGGTCTGTTTTCCAACATTAAAACTCCACCGTTATCGCTGCTGATTTACAGAGTAACAGTTTCAAACATCCAGTTGCCAGAAAAACTCAGTGAGAAGCCTCCTGGGTGTTGCTCTCTCTTGGGCAGAAATAAATGAGACAATGAAACGAAAAATGTTTGTACTTTCCTGATTGGGGGTTTAATGTGATGTGAAGCTATAAAAACAGGCTGGTGATAAGTGCCCTGTAGAACTGATTATGAACTTGATCATTAGGAAGAATAAAACCATATCATGAATACAGTGGTGATGTGTATTTGAGTCTATGCTATGGTGGCGTGTATTTGATCCTATGCAATGGTGGTGTGTATTTGATCCTATGCAATGGTGGTGTGTATTTGATCCTTTGCTATGGTGGTGTGTATTTGATCCTATGTTATGGTGGTGTGTATTTGATCCTATGCTATGGTGATGTGTATTTGATCCTATGCAATGGTGATGTGTATTTGATCCTATGCTATGGTGATGTGTATTTGATCCTATGCAATGGTGATGTGTATTTGATACTATGCAATGGTGATGTGTATTTGATCCTATGCAGTGGTGATGTGTATTTGATCCTATGCAGTGGTGATGTGTATTTGATCCTATACAATGGTGATTCGTATTTGAGTCTATGCAATGGTGATGTGTATTTGATCCCATGCAGTGGTGATGTGTATTTGATCCTATACAATGGTGATGTGTATTTGAGTCTATGCAATGGTGATGTTATTTGATCCTATGTAATGGTGACGTGTATTTGACCCTATGCAGTAGTGGTGTGTATTTGATCCTATGCAGTGGTGATGTGTATTTGACCCTATGTAATGGTGATGTTTTTGGATCCTATGTATTGGTGATGTGTATTTCATCATATGCAGTGGTGATGTGTATTTGATCCTATGCATTGGCGATGTGTATTTGATCCTATGCAGTGGTGATGTGTATTTGATCCTATGTAGTGGTGACGTTATTTGATCCTATGTATTGGTGATGTGTATTTGATCATATGCAGTGGTGATGTGTATTTGATCCTATACAATGGTGATGTGTATTTGACCCTATGTAATGGTGATGTTATTTGATCCTATGTAATGGTGACGTGTATTTGATCATATGCAGTGGTGATGTGTATTTGATCCTATACAATGGTGATGTGTATTTGATCCTATACAATGGTGATATTATTTGATCCTATGCAATGGTGATGTGTATTTCATCATATGCTATGGTGATGTGTATTTGATCCTATACAATGGTGATATTATTTGATCCTATGCAATGGTGATGTGTATTTCATCCTATGCTATGGTGATGTGTATTTGATCCTATACAATGGTGATGTGTATTTGATCCTATGCAATGGTGATGTGTATTTGATCCTATACAGTGGTGGTGTGTATTTGATCCTATGCAGTGGTGATGTGTATTTGATCATATGCAGTGGTGATGTGTATTTGATTCTATACAATGGTGATTCGTATTTGACTCTATGCAATGGTGACGTGTATTTGATCCCATGCAGTAGTGATGTGTATTTGATCCCATGCAGTGGTGGTGTGTATTTGATCCTATGCAGTGGTGATGTTATTTGAGCCTATGCAGTGGTGATGTGTATTTGATCCTATGCAGTGGTGATGTGTATTTGACCCTATGTAATGGTGATGTTTTTGGATCCTATGTAATGGTGACGTGTATTTGATCCTATGCAGTGGTGGTGTGTATTTGATCCTATGCAGTGGTGATGTGTATTTGACCCTATGTAATGGTGATGTTTTTGGATCCTATGTAATGGTGACGTGTATTTGACCCTATGCAGTAGTGGTGTGTATTTGATCCTATGCATTGGTGATGTGTATTTGACCCTATGTAATGGTGATGTTTTTGGATCCTATGTATTGGTGATGTGTATTTGATCCTATGCAGTGGTGATGTGTATTTGATCCTATGCATTGGCGATGTGTATTTGATCCTATGCAATGGTGATGTGTATTTGATCCTATGCAGTGGTGATGTGTATTTGACCCTATGTAATGGTGATGTTATTTGATCCTATGTAATGGTGACGTGTATTTGATCATATGCAGTGGTGATGTGTATTTCATCCTATACAATGGTGATGTGTATTTGATCCTATACAATGGTGATTTTATTTGATCCTATGCAATGGTGATGTGTATTTGATCCTATGCATTGGCGATGTGTATTTGATCCTATGCAATGGTGATGTGTATTTGACCCTATGTAATGGTGATGTTATTTGATCCTATGTAATGGTGACGTGTATTTGATCATATGCAGTGGTGATGTGTATTTCATCCTATACAATGGTGATGTGTATTTGATCCTATACAATGGTGATTTTATTTGATCCTATGCAATGGTGATGTGTATTTGATCCTATGCATTGGCGATGTGTATTTGATCCTATGCAATGGTGATGTGTATTTGATCCTATGCAGTGGTGACGTTATTTGATCCTATGTATTGGTGATGTGTATTTGATCATATGCAGTGGTGATGTGTATTTGATCCTATACAATGGTGATGTGTATTTGACCCTATGTAATGGTGATGTTATTTGATCCTATGTAATGGTGACGTGTATTTGATCATATGCAGTGGTGATGCGTATTTGATCCTATACAATGGTGATGTGTATTTGATCCTATACAATGGTGATATTATTTGATCCTATGTATTGGTGATGTGTATTTGATCATATGCAGTGGTGATGTGTATTTGATCCTTTGCAGCAATGATGGGTTATTTATCCTATGCAGCGATGATGTGTATTCGATCCTATGCAGTGGTAATGTGTATTTGATCCCGTGCCATGGTGATATGCATTTGTTCTTTAACGCCACAATCAGCAATATTCCAACTATATGGCGGTGGTCTGTAAGTAATCGAATCTGGACCAGACAATCCAGTGATAAACAAAATGAGCATCGATCTACGCAGTCGATATATATTCATGCGATGACATGTGTCAACCACGCCAGCGAGCCTGACCACCCGATCCCGTGAGTCGCCTCTTACGACAAGCATAGGTTGCTGAAGACCAATTCTAATCCGGATCTTCACGGGTGACCTTGGTTATAACGAACTCAAACGGATTGTAGTTCGTTATAATCGTAATACATTTTACGAAGTTCGACGAAAATTCTCGGGACCAAGAAAAGACTTATTTATGATTGTCAGTTCGTCATAAACATGTTTGTTATAAACGTAGTTTAATATATATATATATATATATATATATTGCACGTCATGTTTATAAACGAATCAGGCCAGTCAAAATATCGTGTTGTATACAGTTTCCATAGGGCCTGTAAGTCTCGCGAGGCACTACTTCCGGTACTAAGTTGGTTCCGGCTCCCCTTTGAGAGCACCAACTTGCGATATGCGAGGCGGAGCCCAGCTTACTTCCGGTACCAGATTTCCGGTGACAAGCGTATATACGACCAAACATGACTTTACTCGACCGGACCAAGTGTACAGCCATGCTTATAGTTGGCTAATTTGATGATGGTAAGATCGGAAATTTGTCATTCCTGCAAGGATTATCGGTTCCTTACTGTCAACTGACAACCATGAGACCATTCGAAAAGGTATGAAATGATGTTTGTCACCGGAAGTACTAAGGTCTCGCGAAGTGCCGTGACCAACTGAGGGGCCCTGTTGTAGTCATATAACAAACGTTCTGGTTTTCGTTTTCTTACCTAGAAATATATCCGCAAGATTTTGTCCCAAGAAGTCTTCGATCTCGTACCAACGGTATCCGACGGCTACTAGGCAGGCCACCATGGCTCCAGCACTTGCCCCAGCCATCCGCCTTATGTTGGGGAGAGCGCCAATCTCCTCCAGGTACTGAAACATGGTAGAGCAGTTCTTTAACGGTGAACCCTTTGATAATGCTGGCGGAGGGAAAGGGAGGGATCACTGCTCAGAGTTTTGGGAAATGATTTTCTCCCCAAAGCGCTGGAAAAAATCATTTGAAATTGCGGTTGTCTGGGCAAACACTTATCCTAGGCCATACAGGCGTCCAACATCCAACATCACTATAATGCCATGACGTCCTGGTATTGTAATGCAATGCAAATGCATCGAAATGGAACGGTTGCTGAAGACCTGACAAGATTTGCTCCTAGGTCTCTCTGAATGTTCTAACTTTTTCCCGTTGGCTGTGGTGACTGAAATGTACCTTCATACACACTTTAAATAGTTTAGGAAATGCCTCCATTGCTAATAGTTTAAATCAAAACTCTACACTGAAAGAGACAGTAACTTCCCATGCATACGACCTTACGCGGTATTCCAACAATATCAACATTTCCAATCAGAGGTTGTCATTACGATTTGAAACTTCTGATCAACCAATCAGTCATGATTTTCTTTCTCAAGCGATGACAGAATTCCGAATCATGTATACACGCCTAAAATCATAAAACCAAAATTTCCAATTAGAGGTTGTTATAACGATTTTCAAACCTCTGATTAATCCATCAGTAATAATTCTTTCCCAAGCAGTGATACAATTCCGATTCCTATATACACGTTTAAAAGATTACCGTAAAATCAACATCCAGTCAGAGGTTGTTATTAAGGTTTGAAACCTCAGATTAGCCAGTCAATAATGAGTATTTCTCAAACAGTGATTGAATTCCGATCCCTGTATAAACGTTTGAAAAGTTACCTTCAGTGCTCCACAGTGGGCAAGCCCTTTGTTCCCACCCCCCTCGAACACAATGTTCTCGAAGACGAATTCGTAATCCTTGGGATCAACGCACGAAGCTTTGTGGTCGACCTCGTCAAGACTGAATCCACTCCTGTCAATCCCGGGTCTCTTGGTGCCGCCATTTGTAATATCTGAATTCCCCGCCTCGGCGTTATGTTTCTTGTTTATAACGGTCTTGTCTCTTCTCAGCCTTGATTCAATGTACTTGTGTCGTTGTTTCTGTATTTTCTCTTTCTCCGTCTCCTCGCTGGAGAATAAGCTCCCCATATTTCCAGGCGATGGACGAGGGATTGAAAGGATCGGTGAATGTCCTTATCAAATCACTTAGTCACGTGACATCTATGACCTACGTTTCGCTGCTGATAATACTCCGTTTGGTGTCATTCTGACCAGGTGTGTCCCTGTAGGATTTCCGTGTTGCCGCCCTTCACTGATAAAGGTGTTACACACCTGGGCCAATCTGGAAAGATAAAATAGGTATGAGAGTTCAAAGGTTTGAAAGGTTGCTGTCGATGATAGTAACGTGAAGGTACCTGCTGGCATATTTGACATTCAATACCTGTGTTGACACCAACTCAATCTGTTATCAGATCATGCTGCCCCCGTAGATATCCCTAACTTTAATGTCACAAACGAAGCTGGCGGTGGTATACTAACGGGATTGGGTTGTAAAACCGCTTTTGCTAGTTATGATTCAGAAGATATCACGGCGGGGAACACCATCATGGGCTAAGCATTGTACCCATCTTTTGTTTCGAACAAGGAATAACTTCGACGTGACGTGACAGTCGCTCTGTGACCGCCAGTAATACAATAGTTCGATCTGTATAATGACCCGTGAAGATCCGGGTGAGAACTGATCTACAGCGACCCATACTTGTCGTAAGAGTCGACCAATGGGATCGGGTGGTTTGACTTGCTGACACATGTCATCGTATCCCAACTGCGTTGATCGATGCTCATGCTGTTGATCACTGGACTGTCTGGTCCAGACACGATTATTTACAGACCGCCGCCATATAGCTGGAATATTGCTGAGTGCGGCGTTAAACAACAAATCAAACCAACTAACCATGGATATAGTGTTGGCTCGTCACGCCGTAGTTCCGGGTTCGAGTCCCCAACGGTTCACGGTCCCGTCAATACTGAGAGGATGCAGTGTACAAAAAAATAAATTTGTGTTGATAACAAAGTGCCTTAAAAAGTAAAGAAAGGTAGGTCATTTATTAAAAGTGAGGAAATCGGGGCCGGGGGATTCAGAGATTTTGATACTCTACTGTACTGTAGCTATGAACGAACCAGATCGATGCTCATGATGTCAGTCACTGGGTTGTCTGATCCAGACTCCATTATTTACAAACCGCCGTCATACAGCTGAAAATGTTGCGCGCTGTGTTTAACAACAAACAAACAAAGAATCAAAGTATGAACGCCTAAAAGCCACTTTGTGAACCATCACAGCAATTACAGAAGGATATACTCGCACTGCTATGGTTTAAAACGACAGTGAGGTAAGGGGGAAATTGGGTTTAACGTCGTGCTTGAGAATATTTCGCTCATATGACGACGTGCATGCGTGTGTATGTGTATGTGCGGCTGCTTGTACTAACCCAGACTTAAGCTGGTTTTATAGTGCTAGCCCACTGAGACACCATGCTGCAGTGAAGCATGAATACCCCACTCAGACACATTATACTGACTCCGAGCCGACCAGTCCTTGTTGTGCCCATTAATGCCGAGCGCCAGGCAGGGACCAACAAGTACCATATTTTAACGTCTTTTGGTATGACGCAGTCGGGGATCGAACCCGCGACCTTCCGCTCTCCGGGCGGACGCTCTAACCACTACACCACGGAGGCGGTCAAAACGACAGTACTAAGCAGCTGTATAACACTTATCGCCTGACAAATGATAACTGTTTACACAGGGCATGTAACGCACAAAATAACAGCTACGAAATAAATGGTTACAACCTGTGAAGTATTCAGTATCACACACAAACATGCACGCACATGCACATGTGCATGCGTGTCGTTATGTAAGTGCAGTAATCTTGAACCAAAAGGGGCCGTGGGGTAGTTTAGTGGGTAACACGCCGAAGACCCGGATTCGATTTCCAACATGGGAACAATGTGTCCCCCGCCCTGATATTGCTGGAATATTGCTGAAAGCTGAACTTACTGACTCACACACCTGAACCAAGCGTTAACCCCCACTCTTTGATTGCAAATAGAAAGACCATGGTTTCTATTTGCAGTCTTCGTTGTCGTTATGCGTATGACTTGGTAGGTTTACATAGTTTGCGGTTGTGTTCCAGTGGAACAGGGTTCAGTTATAACATCATTACTTGCATTATTAAGAAAACCATCGTTTTGGATCGTATGGTCCCTGCTGCTTTAAGCAGTCTTCCCGCAATATCCTACCGGGTACCCACCAAATGAGCTTCATAGATAATACCCATGTGAGGAATATAACCAGGAGCCAATAATTACGCCTCTGGGCTACGCCACCTGACAAAAATCTCTGAACGTGAACAAATATTCCTGTAGATATTGTTCAAAGTGAAGTACACCCCAAACTCCCGGATTTGACCTGCATGACGTATATACCCTCATTCTCCATAGAACATAACCCAGGGGGGCTTGGGTATACATTTATAGCACAAACTTAATTATACCATAGGGGGTTCAAATGTGTATAATATTATCGAATTGTATATTTTCTGTTTGGAAAAATGTATATGGCAAAATGATAGTTTGCAAGGGACCATGCGGCAGATAAAGTTGTCTGCAACTTAAAATGTCCGACAAGTATCACTTTGCATCACAAACCAAAAGTTTTAAAAAGAAAATTAATGTTTATTATTTTGTTTATGAAAGAAATATATTCTGTCGATATGCTAGTAAGTTCAAATATGAGTTTTGTTAACAGACAAAATTCATGTTTGACAGAAATAGAATATATATTTCTGAACGAGACAAGCTTCACACACAAGAGACTGTCCTTTAAAAATTAAACAAGCCTCTGTTTGTCGATGAAGCAGTTTTGGGACGGCGTCATTGACAAGTCAGTGTGATGAAACAGTATGCAACACATGCACAACCAATATTTACATGCTGCACACACGTAACTAAAAAGCCACAGTGGAATTAAATGCAGTTCATCCCACGCATGAACTAAACTTTCAGGAAACTAGTTTCACCCCGCCCTCTGCAATATTCGAGTCTGTTAATAATCCTAGTCTCCCAGACAATCCAGTCTGACAATCCAGCCTGACAATCTAATGTGACAATCCAATCTCCCAGACCATCCAATGTGACAATCCAGTCAGACAATCCAACCTGACAATCCAGTCAGATAATCTAGCCATAGAATCCAGCCTGACAATCCAGTCTCCAAGACAATAGAGTGTGACAATCCAGTCAAACAATCTAGCCAGACAATCCCGCCTGACAATCAAATCTCCAAGACAATCCAGTGTGAGAATCCAGTCAAACAATCTAGCTAGACAATCAAGCCTGAGAATCCAGTCTGATATTCCAGTCTCCAAGACAATCCAACCTGACAATCCAACTTGACAATCCAGCCTGACAATCAATCTGATATTCCAGTCTCCACGACAATCCAACCTGATTGACTGATATCACGAACAACCACAGAGTACAAGGGCATGGATTCAACCCATTCTTCGATTATACCCGTCCCACACAGTTCGCTATTACAAGCAACAAAATGAAATATTCTAGGGGCGTATTCTAACATGGATCCCAGCGTGAGCATGTCTTCAAGAAGTTTATCCATGTTAAGCGGTTGCATGGTATGGCAATGGGCTAACACCATGATAGAGGCTTCAGTCCGAACATGAAAAAGCAGCTACACTGTACACACTCAGACACGCACACACGCATGCGCATCCATGCCCATAACTATTTTAAACCTAAGTATGACTCAATTCACCTCACCTTACACATGATTCAATTTATCTCACCTTAAACATGACCCAGTTCACATCACCTTATACATGATCCAACTCACATCACCTTATACATGATCCAACTCACATCACCTTATACATGATCCAATTCTCCTCACCTTAAACATCAACTCACATCACCTTAAACATGATCCAATTTACCTCACCTTAAACATCAACTCACATCACCTTATACATGATCCAACTCACATCACCTTATACATGATCCAACTCACATCACCTTAAACATGATCCAACTCACAAACATCAACTCACATCACCTTATACATGATCCAACTCACATCACCTTATACATGATCCAACTCACATCACCTTAAACATGATCCAACTCACATCACCTTAAACATGATCCAATTTTCCCCACCTTAAACATCAACTCACATCACCTTAAACATGATCCAACTCACATCACCTTATACATGATCCAACTCACATCACCTTAAACATGATCCAATTCACATCACCTTAAACATGATCCAACTCACATCACCTTATACATGATCCAACTCACATCACCTTATACATGATCCAACTCACATCACCTTATACATGATCCAACTCACATCACCTTATACATGATCCAATTCTCCTCACCTTAAACATGATCCAACTCACATCACCTTATACATGATCCAACTCACATCACCTTAAACATGATCCAACTCACATCACCTTAAACATGATCCAATTTACCTCACCTTAAACATGACCCGATTCACATCACCTTATACATGTTCCAACTCACATCACCTTATACATGATCCAACTCACATCACCTTATACATGATCCAACTCACATCACCTTATACATGATCCAACTCACATCACCTTATACATGATCCAACTCACATCACCTTATACATGATCCAATTCTCATCACCTTAAACATCAACTCACATCACCTTAAACATGATCCAATTCTCCTCACCTTAAACATCAACTCACATCACCTTAAATATGATCCAACTCACATCACCTTATACATGATCCAATTCTCCTCACCTTAAACATAATCCAACTCACATCACCTTATACATGATCCAATTCTCCTCACCTTAAACATCAACTCACATCACCTTAAACATGATCCAACTCACATCACCTTATACATGATCCAACTCACATCACCTTATACATGATCCAATTCTCCTCACCTTAAACATGATCCAACTCACATCACCTTATACATGATCCAACTCACATCACCTTAAACATGATCCAACTCACATCACCTTATACATGATCCAATTTCCCTCACCTTAAACATGACCCGGTTCACATCACCTTATACATGTTCCAACTCACATCACCTTATACATGACCAAACTCACATCACCTTAAACATGACCCAACTCACATCACCTTAAACATGACCCAGTTCACATCACTTTAACATGACACAATTCACCTCACCTTAAACATCAACTCACATCACCTTAAACATGATCCAATTCACCTCACCTTAA